ACACGAACCAACTATAATGTACCTACTTAATATAATATAATTAAATATTATGTAAAATAAGTAATAATACATACTTAAAAGTTTTTAGGTGTTGTTATCTCCAATCATATCTAATAATTTATACAAAAATTAAAATTTTATAATAAAAAAAAATATAATATAGGTATTAATTACAATATTTAGTATGCTTTTTATTTCAGAAACTTATTAGACACGTAGTTGCCGGATTTGTAACGATTTAAAATTTAACTATGTATGCGTATTGCGTACATGGCGAACAGTTTCTATATTATGATATGTTATTACTTATTATATCCTGAACGACGAAGATTTCGGTTGCAAATTAAATTTATGGTTTGTATCGTTTACATGTAATGAGGTGATAAAAATTTAAGTAGGTACGTTTTAATTTTTACTATCGATTCTATGATAATAAGCACATGGAACCGAAAATGGAACAACTATTTTAAAAATAGTAAATATAATAATTATAGCCAATCGCACTACTTGAATACGGAATACTATACGTATAATTGTATACTTTCTGAGATGCGCGTGGCATACGAATTATTATCGTTCTATATGAATAAATATTGACTTGTCCTTTTAAAAATCATACTTGGAGTATACGAAAAATTAAACTACTAAATTATAAACTATTCGAATTCGTAAGAAAACGTTAAATGATTTATATTAGTCCCAATAGGACTAGGTAATAATTATTATTCAATTTATTAGGAAAATAATCTAAAAAATTTCTCATAAAAATATTTTGAATGGCATAATTATTCTTAGTTATTAAATGATACTAATTCTAGAGTGTTTCTTAAAATTAATTTTCAAAAAAATAAAAAATAAATAAACATGTATATACACAAATATTTATTTGAAATCTGGTTTTATAAACTAGCAAGTTTTTTTTTGTCGTTTGCGTGTTTGTAAACACACAAGTATTTTCTAATTTAAATTTCAGTGAGATCTATTCAAACAAGTTTATTCAATAGGAACTTGCTTTAAAAAAAATAGTTTAATTTGAAAATAGATTATTCCCAGTACTGTATTTAGTTCTAGTTTATATTTTAAATCTTCTTCGGAAATATCGATTGTATAAATACTTAATAAGTTCACAGTTCGAATTAAAAATAATATATGTTTTTTAGTTATAAACTTAGAAAATCGAATTTAAATTAACAATCTAAAATATTCTTCAAAAATGTATTGGTACTTTTTTGTGTCGTGAATACAAACGTTTTTAAAATAAACATGTATAATATACTACAGTGTAATACTTGGTAAGTATTAATGTAAATCTAAATTTAATTTTAGTAATCTAAAGTCTATGTTCAACAGTTTATTTCACTATTTTTATTTGTTTAAATTTTATATAAAAAAAAATTCATTTTAAGATTATATAAAGTAGATTTAAAAATTGGAATTGTACAGAAAATAATTTACTGTGATTCATGGTCTCTTAAAATTATAATATAAATATGCATTTTTGATATTTATGTTAGATAGGTAGGTAAATTATAAAACACTATTATGATCAATAATATGTTTTGTTAATTTTCATAAATCTCATATTAGGTTCATAATATGGATATTAATTTTTATTCAAAAGTTTCTCTCAAATAAAAACCAATAGCATTTTGAGAACTGTTAAGAAAAATATTTTATAACCCACAGGGTTTTGTAAGAATAACATTTATCAATTGTATAATGTGATGTATAGAATAACTTTTACAGTGATAGTAATTGAAGATTTTTGTGAATGTTTTCGGAGATGCCCTAATCCAGTTCAATAGTGTAAAGAAATATCACGCTGTGATATTATAGTTTTGTATTGATCTAATGAAATGTTGCTCATAACATCACGAGTCACAACTATTATAATAAAAGTGTAAATAGTTATTTCGTTGTTTGTATTTTTTTTTATATAGTTTTTCTTTTTGATCATTTTGTGTTTCAAAAAAATAGAAACCAAGCCATTGGCATTTTATTAATTAGTCGAATCCTTAATTTAGTCATAATTAACCAGTAGGGATGTCAATATTTACGTTTATATGCATCTACTTTTTTTCTACCAAATACATATGTAATTTTTATTTCCCGTATAAGTTATATGGCTTTTAAAGTATAACTTTCTATAATTTGGCATGTACATTTTAATTAAAAATAAATATAGATTGTGCTCCACTTATAATGTAATGATTTAAAATACTGGAGAAAATGTATTTATGTTTTTTTTTTTTGCTAGTAATATTTTGTTTTCATACAAAAGAAATGCAGTTGTATACTTTATACTTCTAATTAATGATTGTTAGTTAATTAACAACAGATGGAAAAGTATATATTATTATATAGGTACATACATTTTTTTATACTGCTATAATTGGAATTTGTTTTAAAATAAGTCGAACTGCTCGTAGAAGAATGTACGGCAGATTATAAAATGAGAAAAGATTTTTTTCATAAACAAATACTACATAAAAAAAATTAAAAAAAAAGTAATTATCAAAATTTAACTTTAATAACGATACAACATTAACAGTATTTACTTGTATGATGTTAAATTTTAAACAATGCTTTATATTATTAATTTATGAATTTGTTTTCATGTAAAGGGTTTGTATGAATTAATTAATTAATTTTTGTAGACTTAAGATATAAAAAAATAAATCGTTCTTTTATAAAGAATTTTTAATAATAATAAAAACAAAAACTATTCATTGTAATTATATTTTTATATTACAGTAATTTATTTAGTATAAAGTCTATCGTTATTACTGTTTAGTGTTATTACTTATTTGTATAAAATAAAAATAATAAAACCATATTAATTAGTACATAAATTATATTCAATTTGAAAAAAAATATTAAAAAACAAATATATAATTTATTTTAATTATACACTTATTAAGTATAATATATAAATTATAAACTAAAAATTATTTTAAATTTCACTGAAATAAAATATATACACTTACAAATACAAAACCTACTCGTATTTATATTTTAACCTTTTTAATAAATGTGTTTGGAAATCAAAGATAACCATTTCATTATTATCTACCAGTAAACTCATTGAATGTTTGGTGCTGTGCAATGTGTGTATAATCAACATAATTGTTGTATCCAAAACGTGTAATAAATGAAATATAACAGTATCGAATTCGTTTTAATTTTGTATGTACATGTTTTTTTCGGATAACTGTTATTAAACCAAATTTAATATCTTAGCAGGTTAGGTAAAAAAATCCATTATTAATTATTTTAAGTTCACATAATTATTTATTATATTATTATTACCGTTGTCCGTCAGTTATGTTTTAAGGGATTTACTTACGTGGGCGTGAGATTAAAAATGTATTTGGTAACAAAAAATGCCGAAAAGCGACTACATTGCCGTTGAATACACAGTTATTACGATCACTGGGAAAATTAATTGTTTCAAAAATCGTCCGTTTGAATTTACTGCGCTTGTGTGTAAAATATAAATATTAAATTACGTATAGAACCGGTTTCGGCACGGGGTCAAGTCTTCACCGAGTGCTAACACGCTTAAATTATACAATGGGCCGTATCACGGACATAATGTAATATTATAATCGGCTGGCAGTGGTTTACAACATTATGGTAGGCTGCAGTAAGGTACCACCGGAAGAGTAGTGAATTAATGTGAGCATTGCGACGAAACACATTTTGGGTGTCCATCTCGATAGAAATTTGACGACGACGTCTCATTATACGGGTTTAATATATTATTATCGATTTCATTTCTTTTTTTTTTCTTCTACCACCGATATTGATTTCTAGTATGCCTAATAGTAATATCTCCCTTCGTGTCAGTGAACAATCGTGTAGTTATTAACTTGTCAAATAGCGCTCTTATCGTACTACTTTGGGTCACCGCTGCGGAATGTGTGGGAAGGAGTTCGCGGTAGAAGACATCTAATTTTCACGACCAGTCGACCAAGACCACGCTGACAGACGCATCTGGACATCACTTTTATTTAATTTATTTCGTATATTTAAAATCGTCTACTCGACTAAGCTAATAAATTAAACTCCCCGCCCAGCAGTAGATATTTGCATAATTAGCGGAAGTTGAAAATGAAAGAAAAAATAAAAACGGAATACATACCTATTACTTGTGATATAGATTTACTTTCTTAACATTAATTTGCTATAAATACGTAATTTGCAGGTCTATTTGTGACGGATACAATTACAATTCTATATGCAAAAAACTTTTATTTTATTCATAAGAAAGAACGATTGTGTTGTTAGAATAATAATAATAATAATAATATTAATGATAGTAAAAACGAATGCTGTTGGTCGATAAAATTATAATTTTATCAATATTTAATTGAAATCAAAATCAAGATTACTACATTACACGTAAAACGTATTTAATTTATTAACTTTAATTAGATTTGGTCCTTTATTTACGATAATTAGTATAATATATTCGTTATTTAGTTAACATTTTTTGGCCAGTATAAAATATCACGATATTAAGAATAATTAAATATTTCGCACCTCTATTAATAATTACCCGAATAATTTGTGTTTTAACTTCCCATTGACGTATCTCGTTTTAGTCATCCGGCGGCGCGGGGGGGGGACAAATGGTTACGACAGTATTTTTATCGCATCAACAATAATCAAATCCCAATTCAAGAGCACATTAATATCGGATATCAATTATGTATCTACTCAACAATAAATATGCATCCGAAATAGTATGCGATGTTTGCCAGTAGGTAATAATTATTATAAATTATATAAAATAATGGTTTTCGCATGAGTGTACAAAAAGATTGTTATTGAGTACCGCGTTACTGGATACACCCAATTGATTAAATGTGTTTATTTCATCGAAATTAAACATATATTGGCAACAACCGTAAAACAACAATAAAAAATAAATTAAATAAATCGAAAAGTCGAAAAACTGAACAATTGATATAAAAAAAAATCCATTTATTTCTTACCTGTTGTATTAATGGTAGTTATCTATTGCAATACGATTTAGTCTTTTTTGCAGCTCTCATCGTTGTTGGGCAATTACTAGTACTCTATATATAGCCGCTGTTGTATGGTCAGGCCTCGATTAGAAAATATCGAATAATCTGAAAACAAAATATTATATTATTAGCAATCAGTAATCAGTATAACCGCATTAAAAAATCTCATACTATACACATAGTAAGTCGATATAAATAAAAAATATATTTTAGAAAGAAAAAAATACGTTGATAAACTCTATTTTTTAGGTTAATATTCGCTCAGACAATTCAAAACTTTATTTTAATTTTAAGTTGTTCGCGTCTCAGATTATTTAACATCGGACATGAGCTGTAGTACAATATTTTGTAATTTTTTTCTTTAATAGTAAATACTTAATTACTCGTTTTAGAAAAAAATAATATAATATACTACCTACAAACAAATATTTTAAACAAATTCAATAAATAATTTAAATATTATTTTGTGGAAATATGTAAAAAAAAAAAAAATAAAAATGAGCCAACTAATACCTTAAATGAGAATTTTCCAGTACGCGAGTTACCGTAGGATCAATATAATAATATTATCATCTATAATAATGTGCGCATGCCGAGAGGGGCTTACCTTACGGCAAGACCGGTACTGACAAACTATCCAAAAAATTATGTTGCGCACCCAAGCCTGTGTGTTAGCAGTGAGTTAGTTAAACATTTTTGTGGGATTAATATCTTTACACCCATATTTTATTTATGGCGTTTTTTTTTTTTTTTTTACGTTTAACGACTTAGAGTGTACAGTATAACATTAAGCCAACACCTGTTTTTTTTTTTTAACACACACATAATATAATATTGTTATACAGGTACAAATCAAATGAGTTTGTGTTTTGGCCATGTATAGCTTGTTTTAATATGGAGAGCGGGATTCAATGGATAGGTATAGGTTAGGGTAACCATATTTATTTAAAAAAAAAAAAAGAACGAGGCAAACAATTTTGTTTGATTTTTAAAAAACAAACCTTCAAAAATTCTTTGAAATTTAAAGATACTTTTGAGTGTAATACGTCAACATAGGTAATGCTCATACTCATGCTCATTGCTCACTGTAATTATTAATTGGAATTCTAGCCTAGTGCCTTTATTAAAACTGTTGTTGATGACTTATTGCTTTCGATAATTCAATATTTAATTGTAAAAATATTGTTACGTATATGTTTTATGTACTTACACGTTCTTTTTTTGACGAACGAAATAATACAGAGATAATGGGATTATATTATTATTATTTTTTTAAATGGGACAAAAAGTATCTCATATGAAGTTTGTTGATACATGGATACATATGAATCATATGATGTTCAAAAATGGGGCAATTTCATTTAAAACTGGAAATATTATTATGATGGTTATCCTAGTAAAGATGTACTTATGGTTTAAAATAATGTCTTCACTTTCCTCCGCGTCAAGTCTCCTGTCACACAACCGTATATTTAAACTTTAACACCGCACGGTAACGAAAATAGAGTAAATGTTGAGTATTTTTTTGTCTTTAAATCGAAATGACCAATTTTTGAAATAATTTATGTAGTTGGTCGCGGAAAATCCGAAAATAATATTGTACTCTTATACACACCTTTACATTAATATAACCTAGTAGCGAAACGTGTTTGTCGGGAAACCAATAATTATTGTTGTACACACAATATGTACAACATATGAAACTAACATGTTATTATATTGTTGCACGGAGGTATGTTCGCGTATAAAATACGTTGCAAATTCGGACACTGAAGTATTATTTATACCTACACCGTACAATAGGTATCCAATATTGAAACAAAATAACCAAAGACCTCCTTGACGATGTTTATTTTTACCAGAAGGTAGCATATCTCGTGATAATTATTATAATTATAATGATAACCATCAATATTTATGAAAATATCGAATACACGCACTGTTATATTGTAAATATCGTATTTTGAACGCCTATTAAACAATTTATTATTTAATTAATTTTCTTCTGGTAATTGTTTTTGTAATAACACTATGTTAACGTTTAAAAAATATTTGCATTAAATTAGATTAACCTCAAATAAATTGTTTTTTTTATCTAGTACTAAAATATAAAAATTGAATTTTTCTTAACTATATACACATATCTAGTATATTAATTTAGGCTTAATGCAATTCCTGTAAATTTATAGAACTAACACTTTATTAGAATGCAAAAAATTAAACCAAATTATATTATTATTATATCTGTTAAGTTAAACTGGCCTTTTATTAGAGCGACTGTGTACCGGATACTTAAAGTAGTCAAAATCAAAGTTAATAATTATAAATATAAATTCATATCACGACATGACATACTAAAGATTTTAACTATGAAACTATTATAGCTAATATCTATAGAATAAAATTATTAGACATTGTTAAAATTCAGTTGAACGTTGATAGGTACTATTTTAATTTGTTTATTGTATATTTTATTTTCAATAATATTTTTATGTGATTTAAATTAAATTTGTTTAAAGAATAATTTAATAATAAATATTTCTTTTATAAAATCAACTGGTTTGTTGAATCAAAGTTGTCTGCACCAATGTGTTTAAGTAAAGGTATGTTAATAAGACAAAGGCGCAATATTTTTACTAAACGAATATTAAATAAAAGGGAAGTTAAATAATTAATAAAATAATAAAATACCATTAATGCCTGTTTAAATAATTAACGTATTACATGCATTTATAATAAAAAATCAAAAAAATCAAGAAGAACTTAAAAGTAAAAAGTATACTAAGTTAAGATTAATATAAGTCGGCGGCTAATATGCATACATAATATTATAGCGATTTCGATAGTTTCGGTACGAGATTAACCCGCAATATAAAGACGTATACATTAAGCAGCGATGTTGGAAATGTCTAGTATTATGTGTACACGTGTATAAAATAATCATAACTTCCACAGTGTAAATTAGAATAGACATTTTTTAACGATTTACATAACACAAGCTTTGGCGCCGACCGAAGAAAATTGATTTTTTTGCGGATACGCGAGTTATGTACCTATACTGCTATAGTCGTCTGCAATAGTATTGAGTATAAACTATAAAACAATGAGACGTAAACATTGGCTGCGGGTTGATCACGACAGGTCACTTACATTGGTCTCGCACGCCGTATGTGGCGGTGTATATATATATATATATATGCATGATATTAAATAAAAAAAGCATTCATCACGTTTATCATAAAAATAGATGGCCTCCTCCCGACAACAAATGCAACCGGATGGTTGACTGCGAAAACGGTAAGATGAGATAGCAAACGGATTGCGATATTCTATTATGGACATTTAGAACGACGATGTATGTGATAACTGATAAGTAGTCGATTTTCGAGAATACGTACAACATAATTTATTATTATATACGAGGTATCTATGTCTGTAGTACTTAGGTGAGACCGTATAAGGCTAGGTATAGTAACGAGTTAAAAAGTTCATTTTATTTTAACTTAATTATAGTTATTTTTCGTCTAATGATAATTATTTAATTACTAACTCGATTTAATTGATTTAATTAATGTGATATCAATAAAAAATTAAATTTTAATTTTAAGAAGTCAAATCAATTTTTTTTTATTATTTGTGTTGAAAATTCTAGTTTTTTTTAAACGGAGAAAAACTTCGATGAAGTGTCTATTACTATATAACAATAAAAATGTTTTGAGCATTTTTAAGTTAGTAATAAAATAAAATAGGCTAGTGTAATGAAAAAAAAAAAATACATCATCTTTTTAAACCTAATAAAAAGTTTTAAAAAAAATGTGAAATAACTTTTAACTCAACCAAGTCAATAAAAATTTAGCTTTTTCTTATTAATGCATATTAACTTAACCTAAACGAGTTAAAAATAAATAAACCATTAATTTTTCTAGCTTTCTATAAATGTTCATTAATTGTAGCACTTTAGTTAAAAAAAAAATTATTCTACGAATTATATAGGTATAAGTATGTTGTTATAATATAATAAAACTAGTATATTATTATATACTATTATTACTGTAGATAAGTTTTAATTTTATTTTTACGGACGACTCTGCGAACGAGGTCAGCCGAGGTTGACCATGCGAATGATTTTTCGTTTTTATTATTAATTGATTATTAGGTTCGTTGTTTCATATTTATAATATCTATAAACTAATACTCTGCTGCAGCAATGTTCACTCATCGCATAACAAGACACATCAACGTGTATTATTCTTTTCCCTCAAACGCGTGCATACGACAGTTACCACTCGAGTGTATAATGTCATAATTCATGATGAAATATATTTTTTTGTACGTTGCGATTTTATAATATGCAACATCGTCTCGGGCAATAGCTCGAAAAAACGTTTCTATAACAATATATTGTATATTGTATACGCGCCGCGTACCTATGTGCCGATGCCAAACAGCCGCACTATACGGAAAGGTCGTTAGTTTTCTATATTTTTACACCGAACTGTGCATAAATACGCATATTTTGGGGACAATGAACTTGAAATTGTTTAAACAAATCTTGATGATGAACATGGTCGAAGTGAATATTATTATTTTAGATATCGCTATTGAAGTGATCCCTGATTGGAATACTGAGAGCGGACGTGCGTTATAACGGTCTCGACGTGTCGATGAATATTAATATAATATACATTGACTAGCCCTCAAAAACAATGCAAGTCTAACAAGTTTCGCTATGGTTTCAGTTTGCAGCTACACATGTATGTGTGTCATTTTCATACAATCTATTAAAAAGTTTTTTTGACGACTTATTTTTCACAATACTTGTTGAGGACTAAAATGCCTACAAATCGGTGTGATACATCGATATTATGGTATTAATCGTATTCACATTTTATTTATTTATCAGCGGCTACCTGATAATACAGGCACCAGCAATTAATCATTATACATGCATTTAATTGGAAATTGCAGTTAAGAATCGTATTAATGACATACAAAATTCGCAATTTCTCATTGATCAGACAATACTAAGAACATTATGCTTAATAACGATAGAGTTAATGTACTACATACAAGAAAGTCCCCGTATGAGGTCACAATAAAGAAATTATAATTGCAATAGATTTCATTTATACCTACCTAAACATTATTTTCTATTTAATCCAATAGTCATCCGCAAAATCATTAAAACCTTAATATTATTATATTATTATATTGTTATTATTATTATTAAATTTGATACACCTATAAAAATAATTTTTGGTCGAATTTGCTGAATTTATACGTTTTAAAACACTTTAGTCGTTTCCAAGAATCTATTAAAAAAAAATAAAACTGTCATATCGAATTTATTAAGGTTTGGGGAAAAAAAAATCATTATAAAAGATCAAAGATTTGTTTCATTTTCTTTTCGCGCGTTATATTTGTCGTCATGTCCGTGCTCATATGTTATAACGGGAATTGCTAAACGAGACGTCACGGCATTTCAGTTGTTATATTTTACTTTTTTTTTTTATATATAACACAATTATTGTATATTCATAAGTTTTTAAGTTATTAACAGATTTTCATTGTATCTACTAATGTGAGTGCATATTAATTTATGAAATTCTATTTGAAATTAAGTATAAGTTTAATGATTTTATTACTAGAGCTTTAATGAAAAAAATCTTCAAGACAGTAAATAATCAATATAACAATATATTTTGGAGTAACCACTAAGCTTAATGAATTGAATTAATATTAATGAATTTTTCCGTTATTTTGAACATAAGTATCTACTTTAATTTAAATTTTGACTACAGAGAATATTAATTATTATAATTTTAATAATGTTATGCTTGTGGGAAACATACATTTCATAAATTTATATCGTAATAATGTGTTAATGACCTCTGTTTTTGTAACAATATACAATGTAAATTATAAGGGGATAACATTGTTTTAATTTTTTTTAATCCAAAACATGAAATATATACAATATTTTGAAAAAAATCTTGGTTGGGCATGTTATTAAATCTTACACAACAAAATATTAAAATTATTAAAAGTACGCATAACTAGGAAATGAAAATATAATAAATAGTTATTATAATAATAAAAGTCAGCTAAAAGCTATTGAGTTATTTTTTACATTTTAACTTAACGATAAAATATCACCTTTATAATATATTTTGCAAATATGATCAACAAAAATGAGTTGACATTTTGTTAACTGCAGGAGTTTATAGCTTTTTTTGTTTTAATTAACCTTTCTTTGCTTTAAAAACTCAGAAAATTACATAGATCAGAATATGATAATGAAGATTATTAGTTTTTCTCATAAATATCTTATTTATTTTTTGGCTTATTGAGTCTACAAAACTATACTTAAGCTATAGAATTATATATTCTATTAATGATTATCTAAAATACAAATTGTTTTAGGAAAATTGACGTCGAATAACATTTTGTAATATAAGAATTCAATAATCATACCTTTTGCACTATAGCTAAGTATTTATATTATATATTATAAAATTAAATTGTTTTAAGTGTACATTTCATGCAATAAATTACATTAAATTCTTTACATAACCAAAATGCATATAAAATACACTTTCGAACTATTTTACACGCATCGGTAAATGCTTTAACCAGCTGTATAATGTATATGATAATCTTTGATGCGGATCATGACACGTAATTTTATTATTTTGTCATCTCATTGTTGCATCGCAATATTTAATTGTAATGCGTTAGGCGTATTGACTTAATACTTTAAAAAAATATACGTTCTTAGAATTCGTATCCACGATGTAATTTAATCAATTTTCCATACTGTTATGGTGTTATGTTTTGCTAGAACATTTCAGTTCCTATGAGTTTTATATCATAATGTATTTATTTAATTTTATTCAGAACCTCAACGTTGACCACTCACTATTTGCAGATATATGATAGATATATTTTAATTAAGAGCATCATAATTTTCAAAAAAACAATATATATATAGATATATTAATAAATAGATAGTTATAGTAAGAAAAAAAATGTAAAACATTAAAATAAATCGAAAAAAAATATGCTAATACATGTTTTTTAGTATTTTGATATATTCGTCATATTTTAACGTCGAGACAGGTAAATTTTCAAATTAATCAATAATAAAAATATATGATTGTTTAAGTATGTTCATAAACAGGAGTTTTTCATAAAACGACACACGAACTGCGAGATCGATCGTACGTGAAACATCAAAGTGTTCATATGAACATAACGTATATTATTATAATCAGCTATTAAATCGTTATGTGTTAAAAATTAAAATGTTCTCGATAACGTCCGTTATAACGGTGCAAAATACTAACGACGGATTATGACACAAATATTATAACGACATTTTAAATAAAATATAATAAAATAAATACTTACGACGCGTATTAATCGAGTTGGCCCCGGACGAACGAACGGCAGGAGGAGTTTACGCGAACGGCACACGCAGCACTGTTTTAGAGCGACTTCGGCTTTATTTATTGGCGAATATCGTGTGTCGGCTGTACCGGTTGCGGAATGGACACTGACTGAATGAACCGGCGCGAGCGTGTGTGCGAGCAAGGCGAATTCGATCGAACAGCCGGAGAAATGGAAAGAAAGGAGTAGAAAGAGAATACGAAAAAAAAAATTATCTATATATAATGGCCGCGCATATATTTTTGTATGTATGTGTGTTCTCGCGCGTCTGTGTGAGTGTGCATGCGATAAAGGGGACGCGGAAACTGCAGCTATATAGCAGTAGGTCACCGGGTTCCCCCGTGGCGTGTCTGTACACAGTCGATAATATATGATGCTCTTGATGAGTTTTGTTTGGTCTGCACCTGATGTCCTATTGTGGTAGTCAATCCACCTCTTTCGCTACCGGTCCTATGGACGTTCACATAACATGTGTTATATTCTTGCACCTCCCTCTCCCGATTGAAGGTTCGATGAAGGGCTCCTCGAATGATACCGCAGCGGCGTTGCGGGTATAGTGATATAATGTCATGTTTGGGTAGACTCCATATTTTTTTCGTTCACCTTTTGATAGAATTATGTTTTTTTTTTTTTAATAATAATACTACTCATACTAATATAAAAGAAATCGGTTTGACATGTCGTAAATATGAAGTTGATAATATTATAATAAATTATGTTGTCCGTCTTCATGTTTGCAAGATTAAACTTTTTAAAAACTTTGCCAATGCAGTAAATAAGTCAATAGTTATTAATTATAATACATAAATGATGTCGGACGTGGAATACTGTTGGGTAGTTTCGTATAGTAAATAAAATAAATACACCTACACATTTTATTTTTAATCTAATGAAAATGAAAATTTATATACTATATTTTACATATGCGTAGTATGTAGTATATACAGTAAATAATGTAGGGACTAAGAAATATTGTACAACTACAATTTGTATATTTTACCTAACCGCTGTCATAGAGAGGGTTTTTTTTTTTGTGTAGTGTTCAAATTATTATTTTTAAATACTTATTATAATATTTGACTTTTTATAAGTACTGGAAAAGATCTACTGTTGTTATCATAACAATCTATGAGTAAAAATCTTAAGTTTAGTGTTATTATTAAAATGTCTGTTATATTTCAAGTTGCGCTGCACATCTTTGTCAAATATAATAGAGATATCCTCAGGTGTCCTCGGTTTCGCTTTTAATTTTTATTATTAATGAATAATGATGTTTTTGTTTTTCACTATTATGCATTTTAATTATTCATTAATGACTAGAAATTATATTTTACTATTATTCCATTCAAAAATTGCTCACGATGTGACTATAATACTACTATATAGATTTGTACTTGATCCTAAAATAGATAACGTTATAATCAAGTATTCGCGAAAATAATTCTGCAAATACAATGAACATCCGTGTCGTTTGGACATGCAATTATTTTCTTTAAGTACTAAATATTATCAGCTGATCAATAATTAAAATACTTTAATTTGTCAAAATAAGTTTTACTTTGCACATTTCTATACTTACTTGCTTAATTTTATTATTTTACCGAAGAAAATAGTATATTGAAATTAGGAAAATGTATCAAAAAATTAATCATTAGTCATCAAAAATCATAAATAAAAAATACTTACATTATACTTCTAAACTTTTAGATTTTTAAAACAAATTATTTTGAATTATAGCATATTCCAATCTAGAATCGATAATAAATCATTCGTACTTAATATGAGATTTTTATTGATGTAGGTATTAAATGTCTAAAATCTACTCACAGAATATAAACTAAACAGTAAAAACCTATAATATCGGTGACTGATAAGTGATAACTAAACAAAATTATAATATACAGTAATTCATATTGTGTTTGCAAATGTAATACTTACTCATAGATAGATCATTAAAACGCATCATTAATCTACAGATTTTTATTCCTCATTAATTTAGTCGTTTGAAAATAATATATTGTATTTAATAGGTTACATATTTTACTAAAGATATGCAATTCAGTAATTGTGATTGGTCTGTGATGTCTATGTGGAAGTCGTTTTAGACTTGGGTGATTGACACAAGTAGCGCTTAGTTGTCGTAATTTATTTATTTTTACTTTTTTCGTAAAACAAGAGAAAGCTCCGAAACAATACGTACTGAAAATCCGTATAAATATTATAATATATTATAATATTATTATGTGCGAGTGTTTCTACGATATCGATGAAATAAACGAAATTATATGCACGCTCCCGCGTGTCACAATGGACGGTGTTTACCGTTTGTTATAGGGACTTATGACTGTCGTTTTTGTTGTGTTTTTCACACATGCCGACCGTCTCACTCTCTCACTGTATGTCTTTCTTTCTCTCTCTTTCTCTCTCTTTTTCTCCCTCTCTTTTTTTTAAAGCTGCGTATTCGTCAACGAGACTCGTTCAACCGAATGAAAGTTCCAATCTCATTTGATATTTTACAGACAATAATAGGGTTCTATTCAAACAAAATACACTGAAAAAATTAGCCCCGTTATTGTGCGCGCCAACTCCCACGTTTGGGGCGTTTAGAATTTTTAATTTTGCGGCCAACGGGTCAAGTCTTACGTGATTTGAAACACATTTTGAATATTAGTCAAATACGTATAATAGTACACATATACTTGGTATACGGTAATAGTAATAACACACAAACCTATATAGTATTATATGAACGTGTAACACATGGCACTGACACGGAGAACAATGCTTCAGTAATAATACAATTATAATAATAATATTATTACTTTAATCATCAATAACCACCGGAATTATACAATACATGTGTAATTGTATGACCATTATTCTTGAGGTGCGTGTAGTTTTTACGTCTATGTATATTATATAGCTAATGTAATTTTTAGATTTTTCGTTTTTTGTTCACATATTATGCGCTACCGCAAAAATGCATCGTGTACCTACTTACTTACCTACCTATCTATTTGTTATTATTTATTATTATTATGTTTATGCTATTTTTAAAAAAAAATCTGCCTTATAGATTTTTGAAATACACAGTGGATATACGTATACATTTTGTTATAATAGAAATAATAAAAGATAATTGGTTTTAACGATTTTCTTATGGCTTCATATACATTTCACAACATTTGGATTGAATCAATTTATAAAAAACCGTTGTACATTTTGAATAAATGTCATCATTATTGTATTTATACAAAATTATGCTAGATATGAAGTATATACTCAATGTTATTGTGTATTCAATTTAAAACGAAGATTATGTCGTTAAACGTTTAGTTTAAGAAAAATTATTAAATAATTTGACAAAATAAAATAAAATAAATCTTAACATTTTATGTATGAATATACAATAAAAACCGGTAAATTGAATTTGATGTATAAGGTAGGACTGTTTCAAACGTAACTCTGAACTGTAATGGCTGTGTTATTTTTTTATTTGCATTCGTATTTTATTTATTTAATAGTTCCAACGTAATTTAAGTATTTTCACAGTAAAATTTAAATCAAATATTTAATTTTATAATGCATAGATATGACTAAATTAGTCGTTTTTTTAATATCATCAGATTTTGTTGATGATAAAAGTAAAATGATAGCTGTGACTTGACTCAGGTATTCTTTTGTTTTCGTTATTAAAATTTTGCAATGTAGAGTTTCTTCTATTGAATTAAGCGTTGTGCGTGAAATTTATTGAATTGTTCTTTAGCTCAATCGGCTAAGTATGAAATTCCGGTGTCATTGTGGAATTGTTAGTTGCACCACATGGATCAGAGATGAGATTTTCTTTTACAGCTTAATTTTTAGAATTTGGATTTATATAATTTTAAAAATTATTTACTTTGCTATATTAAATTTATATTGATAAATAAATTTATTTCGAGTAAAAGAAATGAGTAGATCAGAACCTACTTATGGTTTATTATTGCGTATTAACATTTTTTTAATTCAAAAGATAAACTTATTTTCGCCAAAATAACGCAGAATGTAAAACGATATGGATAAGTTCGTAATGTAAATAGCTTAAATTTAGTCTCAGTTTTTTGAAAATTGTATTGCATATAGAAAAATGTAATAATATACATATTATTACAATATCGAAAATTTGGAAATCTTCTTTGGATATCAATTTTTGCGTTTCATATATTTTTAACTGCTAAGATATTTGATTGAAATCTTGTATTTTGTTTTCAATATTATTGACTGAGAAAAACAAAAAAGTTACCAAAATAATTGAGATTTTAATTATAGCATAAAATATTTTGAAAATTATACCATGTCTATAAAATTCTGATATAAATATTTTGTGAAAATATTAATTCCCTAAAGTTTTTACTTATTCTTTTCTGAGTTATCAAATAATGCTACTGTGTAAACATTTCCATTTATTCGATGTTATTAGTTTTTAGAAAATTATCAAAAAAAGTACTAGGAATTTCCTAGACTTTTACAAACGCAATCCACGTAGTATTATATTCTGCTACTTCACATTCTAACTAATTTATGTTTGTTATCAAAGTACACCCCTAATGTTGAATATATGATGTAATATTTTGTTTAAAATGTGGTGAAAGAATAACGAAAACACTATTTATACTAAAATGAAAAAAAAAAAGTGAAAAATAATACATATTGTTGCAATACTTATATAAACCTCCAGTACATAAAATCCAAAACAAATAGTATTTAAGTATACCAAGAACGATTTTCAATAATTTCGTTACATGATTAAATTAGTTTAGTAAAGTTAAGAAATATTAAAAAATTTAAACCAATATTAATACCGATTTAAAATAATTATCACACAAGACACAAATATCGCATTGATTGTGAGATATTCATCCAACTATTAAATTCAGTTTGGCAAAAATAATATGTTTTTTTAACAAATAAAAGAAATATTTGGTTTACATTTCATGCGATTATTAATCAAATTTTTAATTTTTTGTCGTACGTAATATTTTGATTAAAAATGAAAATTGATTTATGAAATAATTATTAATATTAAGATGATTACATATAATTATATGTTTAATAAATATAATAACTATATATATATAATATATATATATTATGATAAAATGAAAAATTTATCGAAATTGTTCATTTCAAATGTTCTTTCAAATTTCAAAGAATAAGAAAAACTAAAAAAACTGTAATATGATTGATAATAATTTTTTGTTTGTATTGCGTAAAATATTTGTTGACGAGCATTAACTATAACATAATAATATATTTGAACCATTGCCGAAAATGAAGATTACCTAAGATTACCCATGTCAATGATGTATAATAAGTT